CCCCCGCCAGCCCCCGTGCCAGCCCCCGTGGGAGGGAGGCCCGGCTGCACCCCCGCCCGCAGCCACACGGACCCCTGGCTGCGCCCTGCCGAAACACCCCCCGGCACGTCACTAGAGCCAGCTCGTTCCAGAAACGGTGCCGAGCTCTGCCCCAGCCCACACAGGTCGGGCCCGTGCTGCCGTGTCCTTTCTAGGGGCTGTCACGGCAGCGCCCCCGTGACGCTCCCGCTCGGCAGGGACTGACCAGAGCTCTAATACACAGTCTGACAACATTTGGAGATCCTTTGAAATGAAAAGCACTAGAGAAACACACATTGTTATTAATTGTTCAGGAGCAGACATTTAGAAGTGAAACCCACAACTCAATACAGCAGCTTAACAGCAGCACCGAGACAGAGGAGGAACATGGAACAACGGGAAGGCAATTTAAAGGGAAAAAGCAACAGTGCGACTGGCTACGTGTGTGCGGAGCGGAGAGAGGAGCCAGGAGCAGATCACACCCACTTCTGAAAGCATGTCTCAGCGCCGCGTCTCCCTGCGCAGCCGAGGAGTCCCGACACCTCTGGGACGCCCCCCAAGCACACCAGGGCTACCCGGCACAGTTACACCCCGGTTATGCCCCCCCCGGCGCCCACACCCCCCCGCGGGCCAGCGACCAGCGTCTTACCGTGCCGCGACCACCGGTGACTTCTTCCCGGGATCTAACGTGGACCCGGCCGGTTCCTCCCCCAGTGATCGTGTATCCTTATTCAGTTGCTGTAGTCGGGAACTTAGCTCACTGATCACAGTTGGCTTGTCATCGTCAGCCCCATGGATCGGCCTGCTCTCCATGGGGTCCCCCCATAGCTTGGACCTTCTCTGAAAGAGGTAGCGTGGCCGGCCAATGCTGGCGGATGCCAGAGTGGCCGCATGTTGCTGGGAGATGAGCTCGCTGTCCGAAGACTGCTTCAAAAGTGGGTCCCTGAAAGTAACTGGCCCCTTGCTGAGCTGGGACTTGAGTTTTGGCTTTGGAGGCACTGGTGGCTTCTCGAGTATAAAAGTTTGTCCATCCGCAAAGGAAGTGTATGTGTCAGTAGGCTCCCCGCTTTCTGAGGACAACGTAGACATGCTGGAGACCGTAGAGATGGTGCTTGTGGTCTCCAGGTGATGGTCACTTGAACTTCTGGTGTCCACCTCTTCCACTCCCGAGTCTGCAGCAGACTCCGGGGCTACGGGGGCATCAGAGGGCTTCCCTGAGGGTGTTCCGCCAGTGGTAGAAGGTGCTACTGCTGCCGCTGGTATGGATGGCGTGCTAGGCGTAGCCAGGTGGCTGACCGGTGTGCCAGGGGTGGTGACCAGTACCCCGTTCGCAAACTCGTCTGGTGGAGGCACCAGCCCTATCTTGGCCAGCTCCTCCCTGGTCTCCTCGTCACTCGAAGACAGCTGAGCTGGTGGGAGGGTGACCGTGTAGGGCTCCACTTCTTCCTCCGAACTCCCTTGACCCAACGTCTTGTCAGAGGCTGGACTGACCGGAGGCTTCCCCGCGGGACTGGGCTGGGGCTCTGCTTTGGGGGACTCTGCCGGCTCTGTGCATGCTTCAGGGACAGCTGGTTTCTCCTCTTTTATCTCAAGTCCTATCTCGTCTTGGCCATTACTTGTGGCATGAACCATAATGAGGCCAGCGGTCTTCTGCTGTGATGTATCCACTATGCTAATAATCATGGACTTCTTGTCTTCTTGTTTTTTCTCCTCCTTCCCTGGTGTTTCTGCTCTTGCCTCAGTTTCTTTTCTCAGGGTGGATGGAGTCCCCCACTGGCTCTTCGCAGGGGCCAAAGTCCCAGAGTCTGTTCCGATTGCCCCTTTGCCTCCGGGTGAGTACGCAGGAGACACCAAGCTCTCCAACTCGCCCCTCTCTGGTTCTTTGGTTTGGATGTCCACAAACAGGGGTGCTGCTCTCTCTGAGTCTGGGCTGTGGATCGGGGTGGGCGACCGGGATGGGACTTGAGTAGAGAGGGCCCGTTCCCTTGCGGCCAGCGCAAGCGCCAGTGGTGAGTTCGGATCCAAGGGCTTTCCTGTGAGGGGGTGGATGAACGTTGAGGATGAGCTGCTAATTAATGGCTTTAAAGCTGAGACAGGGGAAGGCAGTAGTACATCTCGGCTTCCTAACAACCGCTCATCAATAGACCTGGACTGCTGCAGGGATGGCATGTCGCTGCTGGGGGGGGTCCCTTCGATGGCCCCAACCGAGAGGAAGACAGTGGATTTCCGCCTCTCATCCAGACGACGGTCTCGGTCCTTCATGACTCCGGCGATGGCAGTGGCAAATGGGATGCTCGTGGCTTCGACCTGAGCGATGCCGGCGTGGTGCTGATATTCCACTCCACTCAGGCGATGGCTCCGGCGGGTGGGAGAGGGCTCCCGGGTGAAGCCACCGGTGATGGCCAGTGCTGCTCTCTCCTGGGCATCCTCCACTTGTAACTGCTTCACAAGGGGACTCTTCTTCCTCTGTGGCTTGGTGGGAGCAAACAGGCTGACGTTGAACTGACCCATGTTGGCATAAGGGTTGTCTATCACTCGCCCCTTCCTCTTCAGCTTCTCCGGAGGGGTTGCGGACGGGCCAGGCCGGGGGATCTCTGTTGGCTCCACGGGAAGATGGGAGGAATCCTGTAGGATTATCATGGATCGGGCCCTCTTCTGCCTTTCAGGGTAAGGAATGGAAGTCCTCGCCTGATCGTACATCTCGGCTGCGCTAATGACCTGCGGGAGTCCGTGGAGTTTAGCCTCCAGACTTGGCTTAAAGCTTGATCTTATGGTATCGTAAGCTCTTCCTGGGGGTGGAGGTGGTGAGAAGGATGGAGGGGGGCCTGTGTCGAAGTAATATGGAGAAGGAGGCGGGGGTGGGGCTGTCTGAGGTGGTGGTGGAATCCCATGTCCTTCCCTAACGGTGTCTTGCATGGATGTGCTCCGGGGAAACTTCCCATCTAGCAAAGAAGCAGCAAGTTTCTCGTCTTCACCTGGAAAACAAGACGAACAGTGAAGTCAGAGAGGACGTCTCTAGAGAATTCAGCGCGTGACAGCTGACATCCCTTCCCTCCTGAGCTGACTTTCCCCTCCATCCCTCCCCTGCTTGGTGCAGGCGTTCGCAGTCTGGCCCCTGGCTCGCGCTCCCTTGGCTCGGCGGGGCGGCCGCAGGCTCACACAACGTCTTACATTGTTTTAAATCCACCAGCCAGTCGTGCCCGACGCTTTCCAAGCGGGCTGAGCGCCCTCCGGAGCGACACAGTGGTGACAGACCCCAGCCCTCGCCAGGCACGGCCAGGTTGTGGCGCCCTTGGCGCTGCTCCCGGGGCGGGTTCTCGCGCTCTCCCGCTCTCTGCTCTGGTGTCACACTCCCCCCCCACCCCGAGGGGTTACATATGCTTCCATGTGCCAGACTGAACTCAGAAGCAGGGTCTAGCAGGATCTCATGTACTGCAAGAACTGGAACTGCCCCAGGAAGCTGTTCTTACTCCGAACTTACTACCTGGGTGCACAGAGAGAGCTTTTCCAGGTACTTGTACTACTCAGTGAAAGCGTGTGAGAATCCTGACAGGAGGGAAAATCCAGTGAATTCAGTGCAAGAACTTGCCGGGATGCGCGTTACCCGGAGCTGCTTGCTCCAGCCTCCTGCATCAGCCTGCCCTCCTCACCGCCTCCTGCTCCGCCACGCCCAGCCCTTACTCTCCTCCTCCTTTGCAGTCACCGTTCAGCTGTTTTCAAGGTTTCAAACTGCTCTTAAGAAAACGGTCAAGATGGCCGAAAGCCATGTCTTGGCACAGCAGCATGGTGACCACCTGCCTCTCCTCTAATGGCCAGCAGCATTCTAAGGGCTTTGGCAACTGCCTCGGATTAGGCTGCAACCTCACCAAACGCCTGCAGATGCCGAGGCTGCTGGGGCAGAAGGGGAGTATTTTGGCCCGTGAGCACTGAACTCTGCACGCCACCCCACTGCTCGGACCGCCGCCGCATGCGAAGCCGTGCTATTGTCACCCAGCGCCACCCGGGGATTTCCAATGCCAAGGCAGCACAATGAACTGGAAGCACAAAACAGGTTCAAAGAGAGGCTGGACAAAGCCACGGCCGATGCACTTTTTGTAGGCTGCTACGTGCACAGCAGCCTCTGAACTGAAGGCAGTAGCTGCCTGGGTGAGTACTTGGGAGAAATAGCATATCCCTGCCCTGCTTCCACTCTTCCCTGGGCATCTAAGAGCAAGGCTTACGACAGGATCCTGCACTAGATGGAGCCATGGTTTGATTCCGTACAGACATCGTCGTGTTCTAACAGCATGACGATCCAAAAAAACAGTCATGCCCTCATGCTTATTTCTGCTTCTCACCTGGGAATGGCCAAGAGTTGAAACAAGGAAATTTATGCAGCACGGAGCTCTGTCACCTCACCCAGACTGTCAGAGAACACGGCCCAGCGCCACCAGAGCTTGTCTTGGGGACGTGCCAGGCGTCCTGCAGACAGGTCCTACTGTGCTGGGCATCTCCCGCGTGCTGAGAATCGCTGCATCTGCCTCAGGTTTCCTGATCGGCCAAGGGCAGCCTGGCCCGAGGAGACACCGGCCACCAACAGTCACCAACAGGCTGTTGACTGTGCAGAGGTGTAGGGGTGGGAGCCCTGGCCTGCCTGGGAGCTCAGACCCTGCCGTGAAGCTCTTTGCAAAGTATTTCACATGAAGGGCAAAGGGGACGGTTAGATAATCTAAAAATCATTCAAGGTGTGGGTAGTTTTGTTTTCTTTTATGTAGCTGCTTCTACAATGATTCATTTTATTCTCTCTGTTCCCCATTTGTTATTTTTCTCCACTGTAAGCAGCTTTCCTCCATTTTCTTCTCTTAAACGAGGAGGGGAGCGCTGTGGATCCGATACCCGAAGCACTGCCAAGCCGAGTGACCAGCTGGACACCTCACAAGGGCCCAGACAGGAACGGGCCAGCGGGAACTCCATGAATTCCAACAAGGAGGGACGCAAAGTCCCACGCTGGGAAGGAATCGCCCCCTGGAGCGGGCAGGCTGGGGGCTGGCTGGGAGGCCGAGGCCCAGAGCCCGGGGGCTTGGCAGGCAGCGAGGGGAACACGGGCTGGCCCCGGGCCTTGGCAGTGTCCTGGGCAACAGGCAGAGCCAAGAGGTTATCCTTCCACTGCCAGGCACGAGAGCACACCGGCAACACTGCACCCAGGTTTGGGGCCCCCAGGGCAAGAAAGAGATCAGGAGCCCCAGGGAGCTCAGTGGGGAGCCACCAGGATGGTCAGGGCTGGAGCTCCTGCTCTGCTGGGGGAGGCTGAGGGAGCTGGGCTCGTTCAGCTCACAGGAGGCGGCTTTGGGAGGACCTAACAGCAGCCTTCTGGTACCTACGGGAGGTCGTCTAGAAGATAAAGCCATGCTCTTCAGAGAGGACCACGGTGGGAGGACAAGAGGCAACGAGCAAAACTGGAGTGAGGCTGTGACTGGATACACAGGGAACTGTTACCATGAGGACAGTCAAGCAGGGGAACGGGCTGCTGGGAAAGGGCGAGCAGTCGCCACCTGTGGGGGCTTTCAAGACCAGGCTGGATAAAGCCCTGAGCGACATGATCTGATGTCGTAACTGACCCTGCTTTGAGAGGGAGCTTGGCCTAGAGACCTCCCCCTTCCGACCCGACCCATCCTTTGACGCTACGACAGAAGAAGAGGGGCGTCATTACAGTTCTGACCGTCTCTACAACCCCGCTCCTTGGAACAGCGGGAATAACACTGATTCCCTGCAAAAAATGGACCGTCTCCTCTTGCTCCTCAGCAGGAAAATCAACACGCAGGAGAGATCATGGACGGGAGAGGTGGGAGGAAGGCAAATTCTTGGCAGGCTCTTTCTTCACTATCTGCAACTCCGCACTGTGACACAGCTCCCCTGCTAACCGCATGAGCAGCCACATCCATCCCCGCGCGGGCGCCGCTCCCCGTGCCCTGCTGAGGGCACCCCCTTGCCCCCTCCCCTCGGGCCCCGCAGACCAGAGGCATGTCCAGGGTGCTCGAACCTGCCGCGGGAGCAGGCAGCGCTGCTGCACCCCCAGCCCGACACTGCCACCTTCCCGCAAGGGCTGGGCAGGACCTGGCTGAGTGAGTGAGACCCCGCCGGGCGTAACCCCTGCAGGAACTTCTCACTGCACTCGGCTCCCTCTGAACTTGGGCGAACCCCTCGCACACCCAGCGTCCTGCGGCAGGGAGCACCGTGGGCAGAATTACCTCCTTTTCCTTCTCTTGAAACTCCATCTATCCGTTCCATCTGATGCCCATCTGGTCTATAAGGACCTTTCATGAGGCTTTCTTTGAACTGCGTTGCTGTGTTATCGTGTTCTCTCGCTCAAATCTTCCTCGACCCATTCTCACGGTGGCAGTGAATTTTGTAAACTAGTCTTCACGATAGAAAGAAACTCCTCACTGATCTTTAAGTGGGATCACACTGGCAAATTGAAACCTCTCCCTTCACACGGAGAAGCATCTGTTTATAGTTAAGCACGAGACTAATCATTGCTGAGTTTTATTTACTGTCTACACAGGATAAAGTTCTGCTCAGGGAGTCTCTGAAGCTGAACAAAGGCAACCCGTAATCCCGTGGGAGCACGATTGAAACCTGATGTCGTGATTAAGCACTGGATTTATGGCTCGGGCTCAGTCCTTGCAGAGCAGGCTGGGCCCTGCACAGACCCTGCAGAGGTCATGAGTGTCCAGCCAGGCAGGAACCCCCGGTAAGAGCAGTGCCGAGGACGAGGGTCCTCCTAAAAGCTGAGGGACCAGCTACAAGACCCATGAACCCATCACAGCTGCTTTTAACCTGCAACGGGCAGAGAACTGATTTGAGTTTCTCTCAAATGCTGGTAGCTGAAAGCACAGCTGTCTTTTATCCAACTCCGCTGCCGCTGACTGAAATGTTAATAGTTAGTGACTTTTAAATACGTTCATTTTTCACTTTTAACTCCTGCCCGTTGCTAAATGCTGCTCTGGGCCATGGGCAGACCTCGGCCCAGGGACAGGCTGTCTGCAGGGGAAGGAGCTTGGCCAACCCCTGCAGCATTTGGAGCCCCCCGGAGCTCAGAGGCACCCAGGCAGGGCAGAGCCGCTCCCCACCGCGCGCACCCACGAACAGCCCCTCAGCCGACACGAGAAGCCTCCAGAGACGAGCCTCAGGCAGGCTTTAACCTGCAGCACGACGCCGAGGGAGGGCAGTTCCTTTAAATTTCTACCACCCGAACTAGATCTTCCTTCCGTTCTGTCGGATTCTGACCCAGCCGTTCCCCTTTGCTCTCCCCGCGGTGCCTGCGCTGTTTCCCGGCTCATCCGCTGCCAGCGACGGCGCGCTCCCGCCTCCCCCAGGCCTCACCCCTCTCCCTCCCGCTGATGGAGAAGTGACACCCCGTGAGCTGCTTCTCCAGGTGGGGCTGGCCCCTGAGAGCGGAGCATCTGCCTGTCGCAAAGGGCACGACCCTTCGTGCGCTGCCTGGGCCCCCGCTCCGTGCCTGCCCTCCACCCTCCGTGCGCCTGACTGGAAGATGAAACCTCAGTGACCAGTAAATGAACCCGTCCTGTTCGTAAGTGCCATCGAGATTTTGTCTCTCAGTTCTCTTCAAACAGCACATACTGTGTCTTCACTATGGTGGGGCATACACCTACCAACTGCAACAAAACACCACCAGGAGCAAACCACGCAGCTGCGCACGCGGGAACGAAGAGTCCAAACGGAGCCTCCAGCGCCCAGCCAGGACCAGTAACAAGCCCCACCTTTGAGCACCCCGAGTGACTGGTCTGAGCTGGGACGCATGCTGGAGGGTGCATGCCTGGAGCGGAGCTTGGCAAAGCCACAAGCCTCATGGCAACCTCCCTCTGCAACTCGCAGCACGCTCAATGCATTATTAATCTCCAAAGAAATCACAAAAACTCTCCATAATGCTTTCGGGCCCGTTGCCATAACAGCCTAAATCCCTGTGAGAATCTAAGTCTGTGCTTTAATACGGGATAGCTAATGAGGTGGCTCTCTCTGGAGCACGCCCCAGCCCCGCTGTCCCTGCGTGGGGACGGCAGGGCAGCTCCTGAAGCCACCTCTGAGCGGAGCACAACGGTGCCAAGTGCTGCGGTTCCAAAGCGGGAGGCGGCCGAGCATCACGGTGCTCCTGTGCAGGGGGCTGAGAGCAGCCCCGGGCACCACCAGAATGGATGGGAGGAGGAGGAGGAGGAGGAGGAGGAGGAGGAGGAAGAGCAGTGCTGCTCCTCCAGCACACAGAGCTGAAACTGCAGCCAGAGTGAACCCCAGAGCCTGTTCAGAAGAGAGGGGAGCACCGGGAGCCCCCCTGGGCTTGGGGAAGGATGTTCTGGGCTTGGGGAGGGCGGCCAGTCCCCCTCAGGGCAGGGGCCAGGGGGGCACCCTCGGCACTGAGCTGGTGAGCGGCAGCCTCAGCATCTCCGAGCACCGAGAGCAGGCGTCGCGGGTTGGGGGCCCGCCAGCGCCCGCAGCCCACCGAGGTTCTGCGGGACCCGGGGCCACCGGCTGCCGCTGCCCGGCAGAGCCACCAGCACAGCGGCTTGGGGCTGCCAGGGCTGGGTGAGCACCCCCACGGCTCTGCAGACCTGCGCGTGTTTTTAACTTCTGATGCTGGAGCAGATGGCGTGGTAGCTATCTTGGAAGGCTGACAGAGATTTTCTTTTCTATCAGCCTCCCCACTGCAATGCATTTCTTCACATTTTTGTAGAAATATTTTTTCTGTTCTGCTTTCTTTGTAGCCAGCTGAGGGTTAACTACCTTTGTCTCAAGAAACCTTTAGATGCAAACATGAAATGCTTTGATCTTTTGTCACCAGTCCCTGGGAATCTAAACCAGCTGTGTAATATGCAAATAGTTCAGAGCATTTCTTCACAAAAAAACAACCAACCAACCAACCAACCAACCAGCCAACCAACCAGCCAACCCCTGCTTATTTTTCATCTAGTTCCTTGCTTTTAGTAGTGATTTTTATCATGAAGTCAACTGACTGTACAGCGTATGAGCCTGTCATTGTGGGTGTGAAATGACAGCTCAAGGACTTCTAAAACAAGCCAATTGCAACCCAATTTCACTGTTTGGCTGTTTTCTATTTTAGCTTATCTGGAATTCCACAAAAATTAGCCGTTTTCCAAGAGGCATTGCTTTTGGTGTGTACTGCGGCAGGCAAACTGGGAACAAGAAGCTGCTGTCCCCTCCCGAGGAGGAACTGTTCCCTCTGCGGGGCAGACAGACACAAGCCTTTCTTGGAGCAATTAATTGCTACATGTGATTTTCCCCTGTATTTACTGCGGGTTGTGCTTGGATGCTGTGCTTGTGCCAGCTGCAGCCATTCCGGCTCAGAACAGGGCAGCGCCAGGGCTGCTTTTAATCCTCCCTGATGCAGATTCAGTTTAGCGTTTCCAATCCCCTCGCTGCACGATGCCCGTGGCTGGGAGCCCCATGCGAGGGCCGGGGTCTCAGTGCTCCAGGTGCTGCACAGAGATGATGTACCTGGCATGTTCACCCCTTGCTCGTGAGCGTAGAACCGCCCCCCCCGACCCAACAAACCTGATGGGTGTATAAACCCCACGAATGGCGAATCCTGCGTCTCTGCAGGCAGCGGTTTGTGGCTTGATTGAACCTTGGACAGCTTCTGCTTAGAAGCATTTTCACAAACATTCTTACACGCAAAACGTAGGGTTTAGTTTGCAAAATAAACATCCACTTCAGACTCCACCGGCCACAGCACGGTGGTCTGCTGGGCGGCCGCCGTCACCAGACACTCATACAGCCAAGGGACACTTGTGCAGGAGTCACCTCCCTGATCACAACGCGGGATACATCACGTTAAAGCGCCCGCTTCCCTCTGGTCACCACGGAGGTTGCTGGGCACCTTCCCTGGACAGGGATTTCTGCACCATTAACGCGTAAGGCTGGAGAAGACCAACCCCACCCCGCACGTGCCACCGAGCGTTTTCAGGTTCCCGAGCCACCGCGTGGGTCACGGCCCTGCGGCGGGCTGGGGCCGTGGTGACCCCAGGCACCGAGGCAGGCAGCTCGCTCCCTTCCGACCACACACAGTAATGCGACGGCCCCGCACCAGCAGCTCATCAACACCCACGTCCACTGCCAGCACCGTGGGTGCCGTCGGCTCGGCCCGGGGCCTGTTCCAGCTGCCCCAGGGACAGCAGCTCCATCAACACGGTGTACACGGACGTGCCAGAGCAGGCCTTTAAACGCCCAGGATTTTTTTTTTTTTTTTCAAGATTCTCTCTCCTAGTTTGTTTTCCAGATTAAGCACACACACATCTGCTTATTTCCAGCGACCTACCGCTCTCAGACCAGCCCCGTGTGGGACTACAGGCAGCGGCTGCTCTCGCACACACACGAACACGTGGGACACGTATGCATGGCAATTCTGTGGCTCTGAACATTAAAAAGTACATTTTGGATCCTAACCCTTGCATTTTTCAACTAATTTTTACATCCTGGCTGGGGTTCTGCTGCTCTCAGCTGTAGCTCGAAGCAGAATTTACTTCCCGTTGGCTTAGTTGGCTTATTCTGTGTGTCAGACACACGACCTGCTCTGGCCCCACCATTACCATCAAACGATGCCTTGGGGGTACCTAAACCCAGCACTTGCCCCAGAGCACCCCACCCTGTCCTCTGCCCCTTCCTGCCCCCGAGCTCCTCTACATGAGCTGCCCAGCTCCCACCTTGTTGTTACTACCTGGAGGAAACCCACCGATGCACGAAATGGAGGGGAGAAACTGAGGGCCCCACCCACCCCCGCCGTCACGGTGCCACCAGCCCTGGCTCGTTCTGCCTCTGTCTCCCATCTCCCTTCTCCAGCCTATCTTTGGTTTTAGGTGCATTTCAAACCTTTTGGGACAGGCTCTAAAGATCCCGACATAGACCCTGTCCTGAGTTGCTACCTGCTCCATCGCCTAAGCCTGTGACAGCCCCTGGTCCCCAGCCCCGTCCGGGCAGACGCCATCACCTGCCGCCCCCCGTTTGCCAGCACGGAGGGTGGGAGAAGCCCCTCAGGTCCTGGCAGCGCCGCCAAGAGACTGAGAGTGCCAGGGAGCTCTGGAGCTCCCCAGCCCGGGCGTCTAAGCAGAGCGGGGCCGGCGGCAGCGTCCCAGCAGTTTCTCAGCACACGCACAACCCTCCACGCAGGACCCGCCTTCAGCAGCCCCGCGCCTGAGATCTTTAGTTACACGCCAGCAGAGAGGGCCTCGTCTTTCCCGCCGGTGCCTGTGCAGGCACGGACGCTCCACGAGGATGTTTTTTTTCTCTTTAGGGAGGGATTTTCCCCCCAGTTTGCCTTACCTACAGATTTTGTCCGTGGAATTCCTTTGCGCAGTGAAACATGGGGCTTCTCAGCTCCCGCCAGGACCCCCGAGTGTGCTGCCATACCCTGGCGTTCGAAGAGTGACTGGAAGAGAAAAACAGGACATTTCCATTCTGGACATCAGTGAGACTTAGCCAAAAGGGCACCACAGTTCCTCTCAGTCCACCTGATCCTTCTGGCTGCGGGTGAGGCTGGAGCTCTACCTCATGTCCCTGCCTGCCAGCCCCCAGCCCGCCCTGGGATGGCCACAGCCCCTGGGGGGCTACCCCGGGGCAGGGACAGGCCCCCTCCTCACGGCCGCCTTCAGCCACCCTCCTCCGTGCTGCCCCCTCCAGCGTGTCCCCAAAACCTGTGCTTTGCCCCACGAAGGGTTGACCCCCCCTCCCTCTCCCCCCACTGTGGGCTCTGGGGCAGGCTGTGCCCGGGGCGGGGTGGCCCAGCGATGCCGACTCCGGCAGCAGCCTCCCTCCCGTGGGAAGGCTTCGCTCAGGCCGGTCTCTGCTCAGAAGCTGCCTGTCCCATTTTACCTCCTGCTCCAGAAGCTGCCTCCCACCGCCTGCAGCACTTTCACAATCCAGACAGCCTGGAGCTGGCAGCCCCACTCCTACTCCCTCCATGCTTCCCCTCAGAGACGGCGTTTTTCTCTCCTTTGATTCCTCCTAATTTCCAGCTTCACATCCAGAAAACTGCAGCCAGACGAAGCTCTCCAGCTCAGCTTTCCACACTCCTTCAGACCCGCTCTTCCATCCTCCCCGTGGCAATCCCGTAGCGGTGAGCGAGTGCCAAACCGCCCGGGGCAGCTCCAACACCTGCCCTGACTCCTGCTCCGTGTCCCCATCTGCCCCCAGACTCTCTCCTTTCACCCCCCCGGGGAAACCCTCTCCCCGCGCGAGTGCTGGGGCTGGCACTCAGCGCTGCGCTCCCCTCTCCCACCGCGAGCCCTCTGCTCTCACACTGATTTCTGCTGGCGTGATGCGCCGGCTTGTTGGTCGCTGCTTCACAGTGGCTGCCCTGGAATCTGCTTCCACAATGTCCGCTCTCAGCGCGGGCTCGGCTGCTGCCAAAATCTCATCCAGTTTCTCTGAAAATCCAAATATAAGAGTGACCATGTTAGCAAGGGCCATGCACGGAGGCAGCTCCCCCACCACAGGCCCGTCCCCGGCAGCACGGCCCCGCAGGGAGAGCGGGTCCTCGAGCACAGAGTTGGGGAAGTGGCTGCTCAGCCGTCTCCTCCCGAGCCATCAGCTAACGAAGATTTGAGGGGTTTTGAGGCGCAGCAGCACCACACCATGCCACTCCCCCACCCTGGCTGCACCCGGGCACCCACCAGCCTGCCTGACCTCAGGGCTCTGCCAGCTCCCACCGCAGGGAACCGCTCCTGGCTGTGCTATGCTTTGGGGAAGCCTCAATCCTTACATTAAACAACTAACTTTACGTCCAGAGAGATTTCCGATATTCAGAATGAGACCGAGTCCCCCATTCCCCAAGTCACCATCCATAGAGGTGCAGATGTGGCGCTTTGGGACATGAGCTAGTGGCAGACTTGGCAGTGCTGGGTTTGTGGCTGGACTCGATGGTTTTTAAGGTCTTTCCCAAACCCAATGACTCTGTGACTCTGGCAGGGCGAAGGCAGTGTGGGCAGCGGCTGCGCCGTGCTAAGGGGAACCCCGGGGACACAACATCGAAGTCCATGGGACTCCACAGGGCTCAGTCTGGCTCCAGCACAACCAGCATCACCCCAGTGTCTGTTTGAGACAAACTGGGACGTCTCCTGCCTGCGTGGACTCGTGTGCCCCAGTGGCCCTGACAGGAGCAACCCAGTCCCCATGTCCGTGGGGCTGGGAGCTCCGGGTTGGTGTGGGCTGGGGGTGTCAGTGCCCACAGCTGTGGAGCTGCCACAGGCCTGACCAGCTGCCCCACCTCCCAAGCCTGACCTTGGCCCTGTCTCACCACTACGGACCCACCTGATGGGCTGGACTAAGGCCAGTGCTTGGTCTGCCCTGGCAGTGGGCCCTGTTGGCCGTCAGACTGTGTCCGTCCTTCGGTGAGCGACCGGCCCCGCTGCTCCCCCCGCTCGCACCAGGAGGGTGCAACCCCCTTGGACACAGCCCTGGCTCCTGCTGGGGTTTCTCTGGGGCTGTGAAGTGTCCTGGAACTCAGGACATGGGGAAGGGCAGCAGGCAGATGCTGGCCGCCGTCACCACCAGCCCCGTGAGCTCCCTCGGCATGGAGCTAGCAGAGCTGGGCTAGCGAAGCTGCCGGGCTGGGCTCAGCCACGCAGCGGCCGTTCCCGTGGGACTGACCCTGCTCCCACAGCTCCCGGCTCTGTCGGCTCCGTGTCACAAACGGTGTCACCTGGGCCCAGAGCACAGCCGCCACGGGGCTGTGCCGGGGCTGATGCCTCCACCTGCCCTGCCCCGGAACTCCCAGGTATCGGGGAGGACACGAGGTGTCTGTCCCACCAGGCTGACAAGCTCTGCCTGCCTTCAGGCAAAGTTTGCAAACTTCTGGGCTCCTTCCAGCCTGGCTGTTGGAACTCGGGACTGTGAAACGTCACTGCTGACCCCGGAGTGCTGTGACCATCGGGGCTCTATTCCTACAAAACTGGGGGCTGACAGGACTCATGGGCCGGCTCCAGAACCTCCGCATGCTGCAGCCACGGCAGCTGTGTGGCAGTTTGTGAGCCAGCATTCCCGAGTTAAGAAATTAAAACTGAGTCCCAAACGTTTCATCAGCCCAGCCTGTGCAGGAGCCAGCCCTACGCAAACACCGATGCCAAGGGCCTTCGCCAAGGGGATTGAGGTGCCCTCTGAGGCCAGCACGCTCGGTGGCAGGTCCCCACCAAAGCCCTGGTCCCCGCCAAACTCCCTGGTGGAGTCCCCGGGATCCCTGGAGGGGTTGAAGAGTCGGGCTGAGCCAGCGCTGAGGGGTCTGGGGGAGTTGGGAACGGTCAGGGGGAGGGTCTTGGTGGGGCTGGAGGGGCTGCAAGGGCTTTTCCAACCCGGATGGTTCTGGGATTCTGTGAAGACCTGCAGCTGCTCCAAGGAAACAGCTCAGGCCAGCTCCTGAGCTCCTCGGCACCAGACCGCCAGTAGCCAACCACCCATGAAGGGGGTTTCATGGCTCCTCTCCCTCGCTGTGTGCCACTGTGACTGGGCTCACCCTGAGACGGTTCACCCGGCTGAGAGGGAGCTGGCTCAGCCCTTATGGCCCAACACCGAGTGACTGTGGGGAGTCCCAGCAGCCTCGGGAGGGGCTGTGGGCTGATATGAAAGACTATGTGGGGGAAACTGCCCCACCGGTGTCTCTGGAAGCCGGCCGGGGCAGCCCTGTAGCGGTCAGTGTGGGGACGCCAGCGCTGCGGTGCTCAGCCCTCCCCCCGCCTTACCCTGCTCTCCCGCTCCTCACGCCGTGGGGCGCAGAGAGACAAACTGCCACCAACTGCACTTGGTACCCGCCCGGCCCTCGCAGGAGATGGAAGAGCAGCCTGGAGCAGAGCCTGCCTGCCCCGGGGCTGCCGGGCAGGAGACGGGGGGGGGCGGGGCGGGG